CTGTTCTTGTTGTTGTTGTTGTTGTTGTTGTTGTTGCCGTTGCCAATATTGTTGATTCTGTTGATGATGACGATGACGACGACGATGATGATGATGATGCCGATAATAATGCATAAGCCAACCAAAGGCTACACCCACAATGTAGGGTACACAACGAACCCATGATTTCACGTAGAGTTGACTAAGCGTACTATGGATGACATCAATTCTGTTCGAAAGCAAGTAAGCAAGCGTATATGTGTATGTTTTGTGTGTACGTGTTAGTATATGTAGTGTGGGTGTTTAACACGGACGGTGTACGGACGGTGTACGGACGGACAAGCATTTAAGTTGCGCACATAAAATATTGTCGGATGTGCGTTTGTGTATTGGATTATATATATGTTTGTGTGTGTGTGTTGTTAGTTTGAATGTGTGAATATCTGTTATTGTCACATTTCACACTACAATTGGTAGCCATACTCACTGAAATGTTATGCCGTTGCGGTAATTGCATAGCCAAGCGATTGCCACAAATCCTAGCGTTAATACGGCAAAGGCGATTTTGGCCGCTTTAGCATTTTTCGCATGAATGAAAAGCAAAACAGTGAACAAAATGTAGAACTGCATTTCACAGGCGAGGTACCACGTCCACGAGCAACAAATATTCTCCATGTCCAAAATGTTATGAATATATAATAAATTATACCACCAGTTGCTGTAAGACATAAAAGACGGAAAAGATGGAAAAGACGGAAAAGGTGGAAACTTGTAATAAAAAATACAAATTTAAAAAACAATAAAAATTATGAATTATGAGTAGTCATTTTACGATTATAAGTGTTTAGTATGTAACTAAGTAAGTTAGATGTTAAATGACTATTATTAGTTAAAATGGCTAAAATATAAAAATCACTTACTACTTTAAAAATATTTACTTTTACTTATAGTAAATAAGAAGTGAAGGTATAGGATGTTGTAAGAATAATATGCATTTAATATTATGCATGCAAACAAATAAAACAAATTATAGTGTTTTTAATATGTTTATGTTAGACGAGTTAATAAGGAATAACTTCAAATTAAACATCTTGTCGTAATAACATTTACATAATTGCACATATAATTGCACTAATCAACACCTAAAATATTCAGGGGTATATATATAAAATATGAGTATTTTTCTGCACTATGTATTTTAGATGTTTTTTTTCCATAGAAGGTGGAATCTTCTAAACATGCTGTAAAAGCATGCCCGATTTATACTGTTCGCTACCACCCGTACTTGGGTTTGAGCAGGTACGATGCTCTTGCATATGCCACACTTTCGATACACTATATATTAGAAGTTTCCCGCGGAACCGCAAACTAGGTATTACTTCGCAGTATTTTACATATACAAACCTTGATAAGCTTTGTGTTGATCTTCCCCAAAACACCAAGAATATCAGGATGTGTACATCACAGTGTAGTGTTGATTTCTTTCAATAAATCATTGTGTGCTGACTGTTGATCTACCCCAACATAACAAGATGTATACACTGTTCCTCTACCACAAAACATTAATGGTTGCGGACTGTGGACCTAACCCAACAAATAAGGGTGTGCTTCTTTAACGCACCAGTACACGCACATTTTTATCTCTCTTAACACACCAGAGGCTGTCTGTTAATCTAACCCGATATACCAGAATGTGTATAGTATTAATTTATCCGAACGCGCCAGAGTGTGCCCAAAGTTGATCTCCTCCAACAAACAGTGATGTACCGCCCGTTGGTCTAATCCGACCCTCAAGGGTTTGTACAACGTTAATCTACCCCAACACACCAGCTTGTGCACATTTTTGATCTTCCCTGACACACAAGGGGCATACTGTGTTGATCTAGCTCAATAACAGCTATTCATACATTAAAACTGTAATACATAGAATCGAAAAGTACATGTGTTTTATATACACGTCCGGATATTCTGGGTGTTGATCAAACTATGAATTTGACAGTTCTGCCTTTTATGATTTTCCACAGCGCGTTAATATAACTAAAACAATTTAAAAAAGCGAACAGAATCAATGTCTAAACTCATCTTCCTAGATAGGTCTTTTAAAATTGAAAGGCCATAAAATAGAAATTTGCGCCAAATCGTAAATCCGTAAACATACATATTAAGTACAGTTCGGCGTAGTTATAAAGACAATTTACACTGTCGTGGTACTAATTATTAGAACTGTCAAAGCTAAAAATTATAAACTTACCGTATACGGAAATTTGATCCGTTCAATTAAACATGCTATTCTTATTCTATCTTTTCTTATTATAGGTTCTATAATTCTTATATTAATTTTGATGTATTGGTACTGATGTTAATATATTAATTGTTTTGTTATTAGTCTCCTCAAGGACCCATTACCGTTCCAAACTTTTTTAGGTTATAGTTTTGCTAGTTAGCAAAAGTAGCACAAATGGACTACAAATACACCACAAATGGATCAAAGCTTTATGTTTAACTACATTAGTTATTAAAGCAAGAAGATTTTCATTTTCATTTCGAGTAATAAGTTTTAATCGAATTAGAGGACTTATGGGAAATGCTTCGCTGCTTTTAATCCAGTTAGAATTATTCCAGGGTTTTAAATTAATTTTATTACAAATATAAAATTTTTTATTAAATTTGTTTGTAATTAAACACAATGAAAAATTAATATAAATAGAGACAAGTTAAATAGTAATGAATTAATCAAAAAAATATTTTTTATTTTTATTTTTTTGATTGGTTTTTTTCTTGGCGCTGTTTTAGGTGTTTGAAACCTTAAATTTGACAGGACTTAAGTTCAAACCTAACTATATGAAGTCGGAATATATTATGTATGTACAAATAAATCCAATAAAAATGTATAAAACGATCAATATCGGGAACTTGGCAGTAACTGTCATAGCTGTATGATCAGCCAACAAATTTATAAAATTAAAAATGTTAATTTAATTTAATGTCAGTGACTATTTTCCTTAATCAGTGGCGTAACTACAGGGAAGCAACTGGAAGCAACGCTTTCGGGCCCCCGAATTTAGGGGGCCCCACTATAAATTTTTGTATTCATTGTATTTATTTTTAATAAATTCTCAAAAGTGGGACGAAACGTTTTTTGTTGGATTAACTTCATATTGCATTTTATAAAAGATACGTAAATTTTAAATTTAAAGTACATAATATGTATGTACTTCAAATAAAATATTAAACCTAATTATAAAATAAAAAAGTTTTTCTAAGAAAAATATGTGTCTTAATCGAGAGACTTATATGGAAGCTATATCTAGATTTAAACCCATTTGAAAATAATTTTGTACGTTGTCTTTTGCAAATATCAGTACTGTATACACCAAATTCCATTTGAATACCTTTATTAAAAACGGAGAAACCTCATATCCGATTGTTAAGTTTATATCACAGATACAAGAAATAGACGTCCAATTTCAATCAAATCAAATGGGTCCCGAAAAGTATGTGTGTAAAGTTTCGTTCGAAGAGTTCAAAAGCTGAGAGTAGTTTGAACTGAAAAAGTATATATATATTGTACTGATATATACTTAATGATATTTCCGACGTTTCCTTTAATGCGTTACGAAAATCTTGACAAACCTTATATATCCTTTTCACATTTTTTCGTGTAAAGAGTATAAAAAGAGGGGCCCCTTAGTATGTTGGTAGGGGCCCCTTAGTTAGAATTTGCTTACAGGCCTAAAAAATGTAGTTACGCCACTGTCCTTAATAGAAACTATTGTATACAATAGATAGGTTTTGAACAGTAGTGAATAACAACAACAAAGTTTTTATTATTTTGATAATATTACACATATTTCAAATACGTTTTTTTTCGCTATTTTCCAACAGAAGCTAAGATTTAAAATCTATGTAAATCAATTAAGCATTAAAGGAACCTGAGTTTTTAATGTCCTTAAGCCATTTCATTTATTATCGTTATAATAAAATGAACTCTTCGATTTTTTTAATTATGGAACAAAATGTTTTCTATAACTTATTTGGATACGACTGACATGCATTCAACATTAACAATTTTTTTTATTATTAATACCATGAGTTCATCTTCAATATTTAACAATGCCAATTATATTTTAAAAATGATTAAATCAGTGCATATGTTTAACAACGAATTTTAACCCATTTATGAAACAATTCCAAAAGTGACAAGAGTACCCAGGAACCGTTGTTGTGGAGAAAGAGTAGCGTTTATCTAATTACCGCATATTCCCTCGGGAACATTTGTAAATTGCATTTAATTGGGAATCAATGAATTAATCAACATGATTCGATTCAATTTTATATTTGTAAGGGCGAATTATTGAATATAATTTAGTTTAAGGCAATTTTTTTATGGAAATTGTATTGTATGACTTTTGTTGGTATTTGGTTTTTTAATAATTTCATTATACACTCAAATTACCATAACGAATTAATACATAAATTGCCCCTATGTAGTCAATGCAGAAGCATTCCTCCATTAATTACAATTCATGCAAAATACATTAACAGATATTTAAATATTAAATAATTTAATGAAATTCTATTAACTCTAAGAAAATAATAATTGAAAAACTCAAATAAATTAGTAGTACTTACGTTTTACAATAGATACCACTGTGTGGGCCTAAGTAAAATGGGGAGTACATGTTAAGGAAGTCGTTTAACATATCGCTCAACAGTAACGTGATGATCATGACTGGAGTCAGGCTGTGTGGTAAAAATTAAAGTTGTTATTTATGTTTATGGTGATTGATAAACAAAATATATAAAATTTAATTAACTAACCGTAAATAACGATAAAACACAATTTTACAGAATAACACAAAATTTTGGAGAAAGTTGCCATTCCGTATCAACTGCAGTTGCTTTGCATTTGCCAAAAAATTGGAAACATGCAGGAGAGCACTAAAAAAAATTAAATTAAAAATCATTAAAAAATAAGTGGTTGTAAATAAATATGGTAAATGAAGTGAGAAATAACATATAACGTATAAACATTACTTTTTATAAAATATCATATATGTAGTAAAAATTATTTATTATTTACCTTATAACAAAAAAGATGTCCACATAGAAGCAGGCTTGTATCACCGGCTGCAGTATGAATTGCTCTAATTTGGCAAAGACTAGCGCTGTATTTGTCAAAGCAAACAGTGAATAGTAATAGACGTGGAAGACGGTCACCCATAGACAAATAATTGTACGCAACCCTGCAATGACGCCTAAGAAACTGTCCGATTTGTCTAATTTTAAAGCACGTTGAAAATTCTCTGTTAAACGAAAACTTAACAGAATCTCTTCAAATGTAGAAGAGCTTTTCGCTGTTATTTGTTTTTCTGCTGTTAAATTGTTGTTGTTTGTGCTGGTTGAACTTTTATTTGCTGCTTTTGAGTGTCCGCTTTGCTGTTGATTTAAGCTCTTTTTATATTTATGCATAAGTTCAGCAAGAATAGTTAACATAATAACAAAAGCTAAAATAGAACTGTTAGGGAATTAAAAAATAATTTAATGTAGTCTAAAGAATTAATTATATATATTTTAATATAAAATAAAAAAAATGAATACGAATATAATATAATCAAGCATTATATTAAAAGTAGATTTAAGCATATGTGGGTATATAACATTCAATATTAATTTAGTTTAATAATTAATATAATAATCAGTAAGTATTGATTATGTTAATGCGTGCTATATCATCAAAACAATTAAAATGTTCAGAGAATGAATAAGAACCTTATTCAATTTTCTAAGATGTTTGCAATATAATGATATATAGTAGAAGACGATATGTAGTAGAAATAATCATAGTCTGTCTATCACAGTCTGTCATAGTCTTTTTACCACTCAGTAAACAAATATCTCAGTTTTAAAAACATCGAATATAGCTTTAAATCTCAGACATAGTATATCTTGTTTGAAACTTGAAATTGTTTGAAACTAACTGCTTCCATTATTAGTATCCACATTCTTCAAAATTTTTTTTTTTTGTTAAAGCGTATTTAAAGAGCGCGGTTACCGTTTTGAACATTAGGTCTGCGTTAGAGATTCACTATTCCGGTAACGAAAATAGGTCTAGCAGTATCAGTGAATATTGTATCATTATAATATCTTACATTATTACGATCTATAGTGAATCAAATTTTCAAATAGTTAAGTTGAAGGCCCTTGTTTTTCGGTCTTATTATAATATAGCTTATAATTTTAATTTTAAGTTATAATTAATAAATCAATATATAAATAAATAAAATTATATTAAATTAACAAAAAGTCTCCTTATAATTATCTCATTAATATTAATTTACTTTCTTTTAAATTTTAGAAATGGATCGATTTTGTATGTAAGTATTATTGTACCATTCTCAATTCCATATTCTTTATTCTTCACAGAGTTTAAAATTTACAATAAATTCATATATATCTCTTCAAAAATTTTAGCTGAATTATTCAATCACTTATAGATAAATGATATAAGTTTTACTTTTTAAATGATTCTTTACATATCGAACAAATTTCATTATGTTCAATCACTACTTTTTTGTATAGAATTAATTTAATTAACTATTTATCTAATTTCGATTTATCATAATTTAATATAATTTATGAAACTATGGAGCAAAAAGTAATCTACATTATTTAAATTATTCTTCATAATAAAAACTGATATTGCCTTTTCTTAACAGCAATTGCATATGTTACGGAAAAATGTTATTAACAGAACAGTATAACATAATTGAATATTCTAGCAACCTTACTGATAGACTGAAAATAAATACCTCAAAAATTTTTAATTCTCATGGGGTTTACATGTGCATTTGTATTAAAAAAAAATATTTCGTTAGATAATTGTTCAAATGGGATATGAAGATTGAGTTATTCTCATGATGTATGTGAGAGTTGCTTGCTCAACCAAATGTTACGATAATAAAAGCAACTTTGGAATAATCTGATCCCTAATTTGGACATCAATAATAATTAATTTTATTATAGATAATATATGTTTAGATTTTTATGGTATATTATTATTGTTGTCTTGGCGGTTGTATTCTTGTCAATACTTGTGTGGAAAGATATTATACATTTATTGTGTTTAGAGAGTGAAAATATTATATTTTTATAATTTTTCTCAACCGTAGTTTTATGTTGTTTATATATCTATGTAACTATCTAATAAAAAGAGTGTAGAACTAAATCTTTTGATCTAGAATAATTTCCAGAAAAAAGTGGATGTCCACTTTCTAGTTTCGTATGATATGGTATCGATGACATTATATAAAATTTGGAAGAAATCTGAAATGTGATGTCTTTTAATAATTAATCATTTACAGTAATAAAAACAACCATAATACACATCACGTTCAAATAGTTTCTTAAGCTAGAAAGTACTTTATAGTCATGGTATTACAAGGTGCGATGATTCTCAACATCTGCGTTAAATGCTCAGTTCTAGTTTAAGTAAGACTACAGCCAGTCATTTATCAATTAAAAATATAAAGAGGTAAAGTTATTAAAAACATTAAAATGCACAGTATAAATATAATTATATAATATCATTATATATATAATATGAAAAAAAAATTAATATTTGGAAATAGTATAGATTTTAGGTCATTAAGTGCCAGATTGGAAAGAGAATCTAATTTTTAAAATCTTTTCAAGTTTACGATTTCTAAATCTTAATTGTTTAGGCTTTTTCTTACTTACCATGGATCTTTAAGAAATTTTCTTAATATAATATTTTAGTACATCCTAACGTCTTTAATAGTTAAACTCTCTACTTTATATAATGCGTCCCAACAATTGAGTTGACTTAATCTTATCAGTTGCTATTCTGAGTTATATTTATCAAATCTCTATATGTCGTCACAGCTTAGATTTCCTAATAACAAGTTTTATAGTTACATATTTGTACATTAATAAACAAAAGACAATTAGACTTGTTAGATGACTATGATTTCCAATATTATTATGATGTATTTCCTTTGAAATAAGTTTATCCTATATCACTGAATTGAATTAGAGTTTTATATCTTATAAAATATGTCAAAATTTAAAACGAATTTGTTGATAAAAACAATTGCAAACTTTAAAAACTTTTAAAATCTATAATTGCTAATAATGCTAATTAGTGAAAGCAAACGTCATAGATGTTCTGACAACAATAATATTATTGTTATAAATACACATATATTATATGTATCTAATAAATATTGCATACTTATACGATTTATTATTTCTGAGCTTTGAGTCTGTCGTTACAATTGCCGTTTCCATTATTTTCCATTCTTTCTCTTAGAAGTACTTGTTGAGATTTAGGAAATCTGAACTTATCACGTAGAAATACGACTAGATGAATTTTTTAATATTTGCTTAGTAATCGACTCTGATTTATTTTATGAATTCTAATTGTTTCTGCTTTTAAACCCATTTTGTGTATTTATTTCTTATGCAAAAGTATTCAGGTTTAAATTTCTAATATACCTAAACTATATAGTCTAGTTTCTATATATAACATATAGCCATAATTTTCCGTATTTTATTCAAACTGTTCTGTATATCACAACAGGTACTCTTTTCGTGGTTTGTTTTTGTGAGTTTTACTACCACTGGCATTATAATTTATTTATATGTACATTTTATATATTTCTGGGTAACTCTCAGTGGATCGTTATTTCCGTACAAGTTGGATTTTGGAAATATCACATATTTTCACGAATGTCTACTTTTAAAACACACTTATTATGTTTCTTTAATCTCCTTCAGTGTATTACGAATATCGTAATTAATCAAATATACTACTTATTCTTAAGTGCTTAGAGTATGTAAAGAAATGTATCAATATATGATATGATTTAAAATGATTGAAATTTCTTGAAATCATTTCTTTACTTGAAATTTCGTTACTGAAAATCTTTAAAATAAGTTATAGCTCTGTATATTGTTAAACATCACTGATAAGTCAGTACACGAGGAGATCGGAATCAAAAATGCTTTAAAATAAATTAAGGATAATAGGTCTCTTTCTATTTCACATAAATATTATTTTCGAAAATTATCTGAATATTATCTTTATTAATACTTTGCTGAAATTCGGGATAATTCTATACTGGTCTCTCTCTATTTCACATTGATTTCAATTCCCAGTAATTACAAAAACTCACATCTTTTTATTAATATTTTTCTAAAACTCAGGTACATGGTATGTCAGGCTTTCTCTATTTCGCATGGATTAATTTTCCCATAAAAGTCTTATATTTCATTTTTATTTACACTATATAATACTATATAGTGTATAGTATATACTATAAAAGCATAGTATTGAAATTTAGCAATTAATATAAAAAATATATTTGATTTATTCAATTATTCTAAAGCTGGTTTCATAGCAAGACTCTAAGTTCCAGCATACAGGTCAAGTATGGCTTTTGGTCAGTTGGCTAATGAACACTGACTTTGACTTAACAAATTTGTCAGGGCACGATTTCAAACTTTAATACTTGCAGTCTTAAAAAATTATTTATAAATAATTAAATATCAAAAATAGTTCCAAGATCACTGATGATGGGTATTTGACAATATTCGAAGCAGTTGTATGGACAGCCAAATATTTAATTAATTAAAAACAAATAAAAATTGTGTTGTTACAATTCAATACTGTTCGAAACCTTGCTTCAACGACTTTCCTTAAATTCAAGAGATTGGTGTATCGTAAATATAAATATAAAGATTTGCATTTTATATTTATTAACACTTCCTTGAAAGTCAGGATGTGGTCGTAATTAATATCTGCCTGAATAATATAGGCATTCTACACTCTAATCAAGGTGCTCGAAAAGTAATTATAATTTACGCATTTTTTTCGAGTTTTATCACTAGTTTATATTAAGTGCTTTTATTAATCACTTTTATTGCAACTTACGTGAAAATTAGAGTTCCGCTTTGCATAAAGAAAGTCCAACGGAGTTCGGGTATTTTTACCGCTACACTCTTGAGTCTCAGTTGAAATTCGCGTTGCAATTCGAAAACTTCGCTTTGGAAATACAAATCGGTGTATTGACGTATTTGGTCGGCATCACATGAACGCGGAAAACACAAGCCCAAATGAATTAAATTCTAAAATTAAATTTAATTTCAAAGAAATTAACTTAATTATGTTGGTTAGAGTAGGTAAAATTGTGCAAAAACTAACCTCAAATGACAACTTCAAGTCGATATAATGCGGTGTACTGAACTCTAAATAGACGACAGTGAATCGTACTGGAAACGGGCTTGTTACGTTAAACAAGTGCGAACTAGTGTTTGCATTCGACAATGTAATACCAAATGGATTATTCAAATCCTCACACAACTCTTTCGGTGCAAACCAAAAATAATTTCCCCAAATGAAAGATCGTGGCGCTCCACCAAAAGTGTTAATAACTTCATTGAGTTCGTAGAAGAAAAAATAAGAAAAATATTAAGTAAATTATTGATTTGTTAATAATCTGACACAAATTAAAATCAACTTAAATTAAATGTGCTATGATCCACTATAATTAAATAACGAGTTAAGTGCACCTTTGGAGCTCCATAGTTGATTATGGCTTGCAGTAGCCTTCAGAAATATTTCAAGTTCTCTGCCACATGTGGAACCGTTTTGGTATTGCGCCGCGATTTGTGCGATGCCGATTTGAAAATTGTGGCGTGTCAGTTGCTGCAGATCTTGCGTTCGTGCCACATCAGCTGCTGTAGAGGCGGTTTTATTGCTACTATAATCATTAACTCGTGGCAATGCAGTTTCACTTATACCACCAACAACAACAACACCACCAGCACCAGCTCCAGCTCCAGCACTGGCAACAACAATAAAACAATAAAATATTTTAAAAAATAACAGATACTCGTAACTAGACAACGATCGCATCGTCCACAAGCGCTCTCACTTGTTCCCAATTGCGAATGCAAAAAGCAACTAAACTAATGTGGAAATGCTGTTGCAGATGGAGCTAACCGATGTACGAAATATGGCGTAGATGTGGTCATGTAATTTTTCAAACTGACTTTTCCTTACTACCGTGTATAAATCCAGAAAATTTGTGAAAATGCAACAGAAGGGTTTCCGCCTGATAGCTCGCGCTTGTGCATGTTACGTCTTTCGAAACAAATGAACTTTTCTGGCTTCATTACCGACTTTAAAAACACTTTCAGGCTTATTTAATTTTATTGAACCAGTTTCTGTAGTTTCAGTCAATGAAATTGAAGACTGTCTTCACTCATATGTAGACATCATGCAAATTTTCGATTCGAGCGATGAATTGTGTTGCATTTTAGTGAATGCATTTTAATTTTAATTGTTGAATATCCATTACGTGTTCAATTAACATCAGATTAAAATATTTTTGATAAATTTAACTTTTTTAAATATATATTAAATTATAAATTATCTTCAATATTGCCAAATTTCACAAAAAAATAAATTTTTAAAAATTATTTCTTAAAGGTTCAGGGATTAAGACTTAACCCATTTATAATGAATCCACTCCTTTATAATTAAATGTAAATTTTTAACAATTCCAAGGTTCAGAAGTACAGTAGAACTTATTAATACAAAATTATTTAAAAATGTTAACTTGGAGAATATTTTTAAGAAACTTAAATTTTTATATTACATTATTTTCGCTTGCAATGCAATTCTTTTGGAAAAAAAAAATGGGTTTCACAAAACAATGTTTCTAAATTGCCAGGTTCTTCCAGTGTAAGTAAGTAAATAAAATAATGTCCAACCAGAACAATGAGTAAAGAAGCCAGTTGTTACTAACTGCTAACTAACTGTCATAATTTCATTAGAAGAATCTGCAAATTTAATTCTAATTACTAAACTTACTACGTGGGTTGCCTTCTAAGTCTTGCGCTTAGACAAAGTATTGTGAGATGAACCATTTGTTTACTTAAAGTCATCAGAGAGTTAATGAAAACCAAACGTCAAA